CTGCCTCCATGTGGACACCTTGTGGGCTGTGTATCGAACTTGAACTTGCACTGAAGCATCTGTGACCTGCCTGCAGTGCTGTGCTTTAACTCCCTGCACCACCAGGCAGAGCTCTAGAAGTGAATTTTTATTGGGTACAGACTTGCCTTTTGGGGGTAAAAGAGTGTTCTGGCGCTAGAGAGTAGTAATGGCTGTACAACGTTGTGAATGTACTAGAAGCTACTAATGGTAAATTTTGTTATGTGTATCTTACCACAACTAAGACTAATTTAAAAGTATGTTCTCTCTTGCTATCATGACAAAATTACCTTCAGAATGACCTAAAATATCAGGTTCAATTTAGAACTTCTTGAATCACTAGGAGTTTTATACTCAAATGTGAGAAGCAGGGGAACCCCCACCCTCAGTCTGGCTCCCTTTCCTCTCCCACCCCTAACTTGGTCTACATTGCACATAGCAAAGAGCCATGTTTGTGTGCTCTAGCAGTGACCCCCTGCCATAGTCCTGACTCCTTAGCCTTTTGCCAAGAACTGCCCTGGGTGGGGAAAAGCCAGGAATCCCTTGGCTGCATGGCCTGCCCTCAAGCAGGCTATAGAGGGCTACCAGTGGCTTTAGGACCATTTGGGAAGGGAACTGTGAGGTTGTTACAGGACAGGGAGAGAGGGGCACCCCTAATGCCCCAAACTTCCTTCTCTAAGTGGGTTCTGCCATCCGCAAAACTTTAATGAAAAGGGACTTTAATACAGTGAGTATACAATACAGAAGACAAAGAATGTAATGTCTAAATGAAACACCTGAAGCTACCCATCCCCTCGTGGGCAAAAGTCCACCAAAAAGGGATTGGCCAAAAGCAAGGCCTGAAAGCCCACCACAAACCTAAAGCATCTTCTGTCTGGGACCCATGGAAAAGGGTAGAAATGGCCAGACAAGTCTGGGAGGAAAAGAGCAAAATCAAAATCAATATAAACACTGCCATAGTCACCTCCAGGTATCTCACCCACATCTGCCTTAACTAGTCCAGGGTCAGGAAACAAGCCCGGTTTCTTCCTCACATGCTTGCTGCTCCATGTGGCTTCCTCAGGTCTCCTTCTTGTTCTCCATCCTGCTTCCTTCTTTTCTTCTCCTCTGATTCCTTCTCTCCTCTACTTTTCTCTGCTCAGCTCCACCCTCCTTCTGGGTGGGGCAGGGAACCTGGAATTTCCCCCTTTCCTAGGGACCACCCTGTTACAAGGTTCCAAGTACCCCAACAGACTCTAGAAGAGGGAGGCATAAGTGGAACATCCCTTTGCCTCATGGAGAGGAGCCCGGCTGGACTTTCCCCTGTAAAGTGAGGGCTAAGGGCCAGGATCTGCCTCACTGAGGTTCACATGGGAATCACAAGAATCCAGTGTCATAGGGGCTTCAGGAAACCAGCCTAGAAAGTGGGTGTTGATACCTCTACCCCTTGAGGTGGTTAAACTGCACCTGCAGTCATCTGAGGCAGGTTGTGCTGGCCTGCCTAGAACAAAGACCCGTAAGATTTGGGTGGGGAATTAGCTAGACCTTCCTCAGTACCCCACCCCTGTCATGGCACTAAGGTTGAATCTAAAGAGGCTATTTGATCTAACTCTCCCTTTTCACAAAAGGGGGAACTGAGGCCTTGAAACTTGGGACAAGTTGCTCACAGTTACCCAGAGGCCAGGCCTCCTGGCTCCTGACATTCTCAGCCCTGGTCACCAGGATACTCTAGCTGGATCAACCCCTTCCACATATGTCTCCCAGAGCCAGGGCCTGAGAGGGGAGGGTAGAATATCTAAAATATCCAACATGTGCAGGATGCAACAATGCTCAAATGTGGGTGACCTTAGATAGCCAAATGGACTTGAGGTATATGGAGTGCCAAGTAGAAGTGCTGTTGTCTGGGAGGGGTCAGCAACTCTCTACTCTCACCATCACACCTCACCTCACAGTTGAGAGCCAGGAGGCAGTCCAGTGCAGCAAAGAGGCCAGTGGCTGGTGAATAATTTATCAGGACAGCTGATAGTACCTCCCCAGAACTGCCTGCAGCCCCCAGCCCCCCTCTCCCCATGCGCCTCCCAACACCCAGCCCAAACCAGCTGGACCAGCTCTGCCGGTGCTGTCCGCAGTACCCCCTCCCCCCACCACCAGCAAAGTCAGCCTTTGGGGCACCTCTGGGGCACCTTCAGGCAAGAGGGTGGTGGGTCTTGAACTCGGAGACCAGAGCGTGGGCTTTTGGGCAGAGATGGCCCTGGAGAGCCAGGTGTGGGCTCCAGCCACACCCATGTAAGTGTCCAGGGTCAGGGGGGGCTGGTGGGGAGGGCCTGGTAGGGCCTGGGGGCACACTGGGCTTTCCAGGAGGGTTGAGAGCCCCAGCTGGCCTCTTCAAGGGAACCAGGGGCACTGGAGGGAGGCCTGCAGCCAACCCCGAATGTGCCTCTCCCTAGAGAGTCGGCAGAGAGCTATGACCCCCTGAGGAATCCCCAAGACCAGCCTGAGGGTGGGATTTCTGGGGGCAGAGAAAGTCAGAGTCTCTACTTACCCCTAGAATCACCCTCTGCATGTCCAGGGTGGAAGGAAATGCTTAAAAACCAACAGAAACAGTTAACAGCTTTCATACTGGGAAAGTTGATGGCAAAATTGAAATGATCATCAGTTTCATGAAACAGCCACCAACTGTTCCCGGTGTCAACAGGTCACTGTCAGGAATGTTGTTCTTGTAGAGTTAGAGATAAACAGTTTCAAATGTGGTTTGCAAAGTATTTTAATATTTGAAGTGCAAAAGCCTTTTTAAAGTAAGTGGGTAGAGAGGCCCCAGAGGTTTGTGAAGAGTTCTGGAAGAGGGGCTTCATTGTAGGGACCCCAATTTGGTTCCTCACTCTTTTGGGTCCTCCTATTGCATTATTCACCAGCTAGAAACCTGGTTGCCTAGCAATGGGAACTCGATCCCCCCAGCAAGGAAGAGTCAGGAAGATTACATCTTGCAGGGTGGAGCCGGAGAGGGGGGTACTTTAACCCTCCATCTGGGGCAAATCTATTAGCAGGGGAACTAGACTTCCTTTGGGATACCCTGCAAAGCATGACTTGAGCCCCATGCCCCAGCTGAAATCAAGGATTCCCAGCCTGATCTCGGGTTGCCAAAATGGGAGTACCTGGAAACCCTTCCTCTGTTGTTTAGACCTGAGAACTTCAAGTTTTAATTCTGATGCATTGAACTTAGACATATATTTTCATCACTTCTCTGAGCCTGTTTCCCCATCTGTGAAGTGGGGACAGTACTACTTACCTCCTAGGAGGGTTGGGAGAATTAAACGAGTTAATACAGATAAAGTATTTAACAGTCTGGCACATTGGTGTGTGCTAGCTAATGGTTGGCCGATTTTATTCTCAGTCAGAATGTCAACTCAGCAGAATCAACTACAATTAAGATCAAGGCAGGCAGGGAGAGGCAGAGGTGGTTTGTGGTGGCCTAGCGGAAGCCCTGGAGGGCACTTAGAGCACTATATTTATATATAGTACGTGCTAAATACATGATCGATATTATGCCTTCGTGGTGTGTGTAGCCAGGGAAGGTCTGGGAGGCCCCACTGGAGTGTGTGCGATGAGATGAATGCTCACCCAAAAGGGTTAATGTTCAAATTAATAAACTTGAGCCAGGGCCTACTGAGGCTCAGGGTCAGGACAAGCAGCAGATATATGTGTCTTTCTAGATACTGGCCTGTGAAGCGCTCAGTGCAAGCCAGTGGTAACAGTTTGATGGAATTACTGTCCCTAAAAATCCTCCAGTACCAGTCAGACCCCAGTTGCCTGGAGGGCCTAGCTGGCACCTAGGCAGCCCTGAAGGCTTCAAGGAGAATAACAGTAGGAGTATCTCAAGTTAAACTTTACACAGTAAATTCTCTTCCCCTTCCTCCCAACACTGACCAGTCAAGGGCTAGGCTGCAGGGCCTAATGACCCTTGCTCCAGGGGTGGGGGTTGGCAGGTGTAGGAAGCAACTCTGGAATTACCATAGCAACGGCCTGTGTCCTAGTGAAACAGTCACTTCTCTTCCCAGACTCTCTTAACCCTCCTTCCTTCCCCCACCACCAGTGTGTAAGGGATCTTGGGTAGGAGCCCAGGCCCAGAGAGTGTGTGAAGTTGAAGAGAGACACACAGCAAGTTAAGGGCTAAGCAAAATTAGAGAGTCTCTGTAGGACAAAGGGGGAGATAGTTATAATTAATTACAAAGGTTGCTAATCATGAAAACTATTAGTTATTCGTGTAAACTATGCCGTTTTGGGGCACTCTATCTTAAGCTTTTACTTGCACAGATACTTCCTGGCAAGGGTGCCCCTTTGCAAGGTCAAGCTATCCCAGCACATTCCACAGATGAGAAAACTAAGGCTCAGAGAGGTGATGTGAGGCTTAGGAAGGGTTTGAGCTCAAGCTGTTAATAGTTTCTGCTCTGTGGGGCTCACCGGACAGTGCTCGTGTGTCCACCTCCTTCTATCCTGGCTCCTTCCAGGTGCAAGGGAAAACAGAGAAAGATATTGGGCTTTGGTTGGCTTTCAAGTAACGCATGTAAAATGTCACTGTGCTAAGAAATGTGACTATGCTAAGTCTCCCTAGGAGACTCGGGAATTCCTTATCCTCTTCCCACAGGCCTGTGGCCGAGAGCTCCCTCTATCGGCAGAGGCTAGAGGTCATCGCGGTAAGTGCGACCCAAAGGGGCGCGACCCGGGAAGCCACAGCCTCTCTCCCACCTCACTCCCATCCTCCGAGCAGGCCTAGTACTGTCATGCGGGTGGAAAGCAGCGCCTTGACCTCAGCCTGCTTGGTCAGGCGGCTCTGCTCCCCGTGCCTCTGTGTGGTCACCGCCAACCCCAGAATAGTGAGCTGTGAACCCCACACTCCATTCTCCCACCCCGCCGCACTGTCCCATTCTTGAACTTTGGTCAGCCAAATACCCCAGTGTCTGGCCGCATCTCGCAGGCCCTCAACTCTCTGACAAGTTATCTCTGAATCCGCACCTCTCTGGACCCATCACCAAGACCCCATGTGTGTAGCTCAACCTCTGAACCACTACCTCTGCACCCATCGTCTGCACCCCATCTCTGCACTCCATTTCTCTGGACCCCATATCTAGATCCCACTGCTATGACTTCACCTTCATTTTTTTGTCTTCTCCCTTTGATCCTGTATCTGGACCCCCATCTCTGAAACCTGTCTCTCTTAACTGTCACCACACCCACAGCTCTACCCCGCTGCGGATTCACATTCCAAGGTCCTCTGCTTCCTTCGCCTCATATCCACAGACCCCCATCAGGCTGGGCGAGGCCTCCGCAGCATCCTGGGCGCGGCCCGCCCCGCCCCCTCCGCACCCCCACTCCCTTTGCTGAGTCAGCGCGTCCGCAGCCCCCTCCCCGCTCTTCCCCTCCCGCTGTGCGCTTCGGGGGGGGGGGGAGCCCCCTCCCTCTGCTCGCTTAGCAGCCGAGGGAGCCCCAGGAGTCCAGCGCGGGAGGTGGGGGCCAGGAGGATAAAAGGGAGGCGACGGCCCCACCCGACCGCGTGCAGCTCCGGGTTCTGTGCGCAGGAGAAGCGGCGGCTGCAGGAGGAGATCCGGGCGGTGCGGCGGGAGCTGGAGGAGGAAAAACTCCGCGTGGAGCGACTTAAGGTTGGGGGCCGAAGGGGCGCCTGCCCAGCCTGGGCAACCAAGCGGATGTGCCTGTCAGAGTGGGCTTGAGGGACCATCGGATCCTCCGTCTAATTTGGGGGGCACTGGTTTTAATTTGGGGGACGGACATCTTGCCCATTTTGGCAGAGTGGGTGGTGGTGATGGGGGCTTTTGGTCCACCTTTGGGAAGCACAAGGGGACAGAACTCTTTGTTTTGGGAGGGGCTCGTGGGACACGGATTTCACCGATGTCTGGATCTGTCTGTCCTATTCTGGAAAGGGGTAGGGAGACTGGTGGGTTTTTTCCCTAGCCTAGGAAAGTTATGGGCTGCTAATGGGGCTTCTGTCCCACCTGAACATGTTGGGGAGCAATGAGGACATATATTCCAGCCGGAGAAGTGTGTACTGCATTTGGGTGGTTTGGGAGGTTGTCAGGAGAGGGCCCTCCATGAAATGGGGTAGTTGCATGCTTAGCTGGGACTCCCTCCCATGCCCAGAGGAAGTCTCTCCGGGAGCGCTGGCTCATGGATGGAGCAGCTGAGGGGCCAGAGCAGCTGGAGGACCCCACCTCGCAGGACCTCCAGTCCCCTGAGGGCCAGGCTCAGGCTCGCATCCAGGACCTAGAAGATAGCTTGTTCACGTGAGTGGGTGGGGCCTCTGCCTGTCCTTTTATCCCCAGCCTAGCAAGGCCAAGACCCTGGGCCTGCTCTGGGGAGGTGCCAAGTTGACACTGGCGTGGGGGTCCATTGAACTTGGAACTCACAGCCCCTCCTCTCTCCTACCCAGACTCCAGTCCCAGCTACAGCTGTTGCAAAGTGCATCCACAGGTGCTCTGCACAAACCAGGCAGGCCCATATGGCGAAAACAGGTGAGGAGCCAGGAGGGTAAAAGCGGGGAGATGTGTGACCAGCAGAGCCAAAGTAGGACCTCACCAAATGTAGTTTAACCACTTGGTCTGCTGCTGCTACTTCTTTGCTCTGTTATCTGGGACAAGTCACTTTTCTAGCCCAAGCCTCAGTTTCCCCATAGCTAAAATGAGAACAGCAGCACACAACAACGGGGTACATCTCAAGGATGTATGAGGAAGGGAGGATAAGATGGATAAGAACGGAGCTTAGACCTAGGAGCCAGAACCTGGGAGTTTGCATACACTGTTATTAAGATGATCCTAATGAGGAATGTGGGGGTAGGGGATAGCTATAGGGGGGGAACAGTCCAGGAATTCAGCCTCAAAAGTAGGGTGGGAGGAGGCCCCTCCCTGGTGGTACAACACAGCATTATCAAGCTAGCCACAGTCACTGCAGCACAAGTTCAATCCCAGGGAAGGGAGGTCACCCATATGGCGTGGCACACCTCTCCTGACCTGTCCCCTGCTCCCCTCAGCAGTGTACTTCAGTCACTCCTCCTGTTCTGCTCCCTGCTATCTCTGGTGAATCCTCTCACCCCCTCCACCTCTGGCCTGCACCCCAGTTCTGTATGCATAAATAAATACATCTTTTTTTTTTAAGATTTATTTATTTATTTATTTGTGCATACAGAACTGGGGTACAGATCAGAGGCTCAGGGGCGGTGAGAGGCTTCACCAGAGACAGAGTGGGGAGCAGAACAGGCAGATCAACAAAGTACACTGCTGAGGGGAGCAGCGGGCGGGCCAGGAGAGGTCTGCCACACCATGTGGTCACCTCCGGGGCGGCGGGAATCGAACTCATGTGGAAGCGGCTTTAGATTCTCAGTGCTGTGCTCTAACCTGCTGCACCATCAGGGAGGGCCTAAATACATCTTTTTAAAAAGTATATCTTAAAAAAAAAAAAAAAATAGGAGATGCTCTGTGATATGGGCATCCACATGGGCTTCTTAGTTTTTTGTTTCTTTGGGTTTAGGTAATACCTTTATTTAAATTTAACCTACATGCTGAACAAAACCAACACTCCAAATTAAAATGTAGCTTTCTGGGATTTCCTTGAAGTCCAAGGATTCAGCAACATTTGTGCCTGACTACTGTGAGGATTTTCTAGTCCCTTCCTCTCCCTGAAGTCTTACCTTAGCTCCCAAGTGCTGTTGCAGGACCGTGAGGAAAAGGGGCCCTGTTAGTTGGTGTGGGGAACACGTCTTGGGTTTTTGGAATACACCAGAATTTCCTTGCTAGCATGTGAGATCAGGGACTCAGGAAAGGCTTCCTGGAGGTGGTGACACCTGTGCTCAATCTGAGTAAGAACTAGAAAAGGAGGGGAAAGAGAATTCTAGGAAGAGGAAATACTCTGCAAAGGAGGACCTGGAGACTGGAAAGAGGAGAATGGGTCCAAAGAACTATGAGACAGTCTATGGGGTTGGCCTTGGTAGCCGGCATTGCTGTCCTTGATTCTCCCTCCTAGCCCTGTCTTCTTCCTCTTGCCTCTCCCTGCCTTGACTTCAGTCACAGTGACACTCTGCCTCCTTCAACTGCCTCACTCACTGCCACCCCAGGACCTTTACACTTGCTGCCCCTGCTGCCTAGAATGCCCTCCCCACCTCTTGATTAAAGGCCAGTGCTTCTCACCCATCATGTCTCTGTTCAGTGTCACTTCCTCTTAGAACTACATCCTGCATCTTTCTTTTAACATTTATTTATTTATATTACAAGAACTGGGGTACAGGCCAGAGGTGCAGGGGGAGGGATGCAGTGGTGTGTGTGATAGGATTCACCAGAGACAGAGTGGGAGCAGAAGAGGCAGATGGATGAAGTACACTGCTGAGGGGAGCCGCAGGTGGGTCAGGAGAGGTCTGCCGAGCCATGTGGATCAGCTCCCTGGCCGGGGCTCGAACTCCTGCTGCAGTGGCTATGGATGCCTCATTGTGCTGAGACTTAACTCCTTGAAGTCACCTCATCACCTCCCAGACACTCTCTAGACTTTCAGCCTGCTTTTTTCTCCCTCACAGGGGAATAATTATGTTATTTAGTTCTTTGTGGTTCTATTTATTACCTACCTCTGCCCACTGGAATGTAAGTTTCAATAGCAAAAACGTAAGTGTCCCTTGTCCACCGGAACCTCAGCAGAGAGAACTCCAATGTAGAGGACTGTTTGCGTGGCCACAATATTGATGACGTTAGCTACAACATGTGAGCCTCAGGAGCACAGGGAAATAAGATGGGTGGGGAAGACTGATGGTTTGGTTCTGAAGATAACAGGGAGCTACAGTGTTTCAGCTGGGGTGGGGGTGAGGGAATGTTGGCATGGAGAAAGGCTTGGGGTAGGGACATCACCTGACCTTGACTCTGTCATCCCTGTAGGGCCACCGTCCTCTCTCACAGCTCAACATGGAAACAGACCCTCCAGGTGGGTGTTTGGGTCGCGAGAGAAGAGAAGGGCATTTGGGACTCCCTTCTCACACTGTAACCCCATCTCTCCTCTGAATTCCTCAGGCCAGACTGATCTCAACAAGCGAGCCTCCCTGCCAGCTGGACTGGTGGGCACATCCACTTCTGAGCCCAGAGTTGAGATTGCAGAAGTCCCACCAGATGTCAGACTGGCCCCTGCAGCAGCAGGGCCTCCCTCAGAAGCCAATGGCCCCTGCCCAGAACCGAGCAATCCTTTGAGTCCGGGGGTAGCAGAATTCAAGGGGGTTGTGGGGGAGACAAGAGAAGGGGGTATGGTGAAAGTTGTGTGGGAAGGGCTGAGAGCCACAGAGGACTGTGCCACAGAAGCCACAGGTCCAGAACTGGAGGCGAAGGTAGAGGAGATGGTGCTAGAGGCCATCGGGGAAAGGCAGGAAGCTGATCAGCTAGAGCTTCCGGCCTGGGTGAAAGAGGACAGGGGGATTGTGGAGGTGATCTGGGAAGGAGTCGGGGGCCCAGACGACGGTAACTCAGAGGCCACAGGGGAGGCAGGCAGGGGCCCAGAAGCTGCGCCAACCGGCTCACCAAAGATCCAGGAGGGAATAGAGGGAGCAGCTTCTCATGAGGGGGAAGGTGCCTCCAGGAGCAGCCCTGATGGTGACAGGCAAGGGGGCTCTGGAGCAGTGGAGGGGTCATTCATTTGGGTGGAAAGAGTGACCCTCACGGAGGAATGGGAAGAGCTGCAGGTAGAGGGGGTGGGAGGACCGAGGGTGACAAGCAGGGAGGGAGATGAAAGTCCTCTGGGGGCAGAGGAGAGAGGAGTGGAAGAAAGCTGGGAGGTGGAGAAGAGTCGAGCAGAGCAATCTGGGGAAAAGGGAAATGACAAAAAGGCAGGGACCGAGTGGGAAGGGGAGGAAAGGTCACTGGTGGGAGAGAGGAAAGGAAGTGAGGAATCTTTTCAGCCTGAGGGGAGAGGAAATGAGAAAACACTGTCCACAGAAAGAAAGGAAGTGGCAGACAGGGAAAGAGGCAAGGCGCCATTGGAAGCAGAGAAGACAGAAGAGGAAAAAAGGCTCGAGGAGGTTGAAAAACCACCAGTGATGGAGAGAAGAGATGAGATATCACTGAAAGTAGAGAAAGGAGGAGGGGAAGCACTGAAGGGAGAGAGGGAAGGGCAGGAGGAAGAATTAAAAGTTGGAAGAGAAGGAGGTGAGGAAGCCCTGAAGGCAGAGAGAGAAGGAGAGGAAGCATTGAAAGTAGAAGGAGGAGGTGAGGAGGCACGGGAAGTAGATGGAGAAGGCGGTGAGGAGGCATTAAAGGTAGAGAGAGGAGGGGAAGCAACATTGGAGTCAGAGGGAGAAGGAGGTGAGGAGGTATTGCTAGTAGGGACGAAAAGAGATGAAGAAGAGTTAGAGGCAACTCAAGAACCACTGGTGTCAGTGAGAGAAGGAGAAGCATCACGGAAGGCAGTGAGAGGAAGTCAGGAAACACTACAGGCAGAGCAAAAAGGAGACGAGGCACTGGAGGCGGGGAATACCCAGGGTCCGAGTTCAGAGGAAGGTCTGAGTGTGGAAGAACAGAGAGAGTCAGGAGAAGCTACAGAAAGTCAGGTAGAGGAGGTGAGTGAGGCAGGGGTTGCCCTGAGGGCCACGAAGGAGCCAGGGCCAGAGGAGGAATCACAGCCCCAGGAACTGGAAGCCTCCCCAGAGAAGACAGCCATGAAGCTCCAAACCCCGGCTGAGGGCCGGGGCCCCTTGGGGGACACCACACCCCTCCTGGTAAAGACCGCAGCTCCCGATCAGCCCCCTGAGTGCCAGCCACTGCTTCAGGTAGAGGGGCCCAGTGCCCATCCTGTGCCCACCTATGCACCTGACCGGCATCTTGAGCCATCTGCCTCTCCTGAGGGTGAAGAGGTGAGTGTCCCTAAGCAGAAGACGTGCCAGTGTTGTGCGGTTATGTGAGCCCACACCTTCCGTTCCACACCCAGCTCCTCTCACAGCTACCTCGGCCTCTTGGCATCCAGCAGAGGGTCCCAGGCACAGAGAAGGACACCACAGGACTGACCTGTGGCACTTGGGAGCCAGCTGGCCCAAAGATCCACCTCTACCTGGGCTTCCAGACCCCTTGCCTACTGCCTGTGACTCTGGCCCCCTTCTGTGACAAAGCCTTTATACTTGAAAATAAAATCTTAAAGCACTCTGACAGTTTGGACATGGATGTTGCTGGCACACAACTACCTCACCATGTCCTATAGGAAAATGAGGGCTTAATGCTGCTAGAAGCAAAGATTCTGAGTCAGTGTGAGTGTAGACATGGCCGCTGCAACAGAAAGGACCTCAAGCTACAGTAGCTATAAAACCATAAATGTTCATTTATTTGGGATGGCTCTAATCTAGTTACTTGGGGGCTCAAGTTCCTTCCCATTTCTTTCCCCACTCCCCACTTACTTATGGCCAAAGTTGAACCATGGGCACACTGATGGAAAAGGGAAGAAAATTCAGAAGAACCCCCACCCAGCCCCAACGCACTGTTCATATTCCATTGGTGAAAACCCAGTCCATGGCTGCCCCCAGGTGCAAGGGAGACTGGGATTGTGTCTCTTATAGATTGGGGAAAGCAGCTGTCACTCTGGATTTCCAAAATGTTACTTTGCTTCTTCATCCATCCATGTATTTCCCTGCTGGGGCCGGATCCTTCTCTGTTAGGGATCCTTTGATCTCAGCTCTTGCTGGCTGTCCTCAGGCAAGGTACTCAACCTCTCTGATTCTCGGTATCTTCATCTGTCAAGTGAGCACCCCTTTCCTGACTTGGGGTCATATCAGCTAGAACCTGAGGCCTTTTGGGGGGCCCCAGAAGTCCCAGTTCCTCAGGTGTAGGCAGGAAGTGTTTCTCATACCCAGTGTCAAGTGAGGCAGGGGCAGAGGCCTGGAGTGGCCCCCTATCTGGCAGCGGCTCCATCTCCTCCACTTCTAGAAAGGGCAGATCACCTGGGGGCTGGGCCTGGGGCACCTCCTGGGGAGAAAAGAAGCTGAGGGTCTACTCTTCCCACAACTTCTACCCACTACCCACTGTGCCAGCATCCGAAACCACCCGCCCACCCCAGACCCTGAAAAGCAAGACTTTTGCTCACCTCCTCATGGGGCTGGCTGAAACTGCTGTTGGCAGGATCAGGGATCTTCTCCCAGACCCAGCGGGGTAGTACCTTGTGCCGCAGATGGGGGCGCCTGGCAAACAGGTAAGAGTCAGGACAGGCATCCAGGTAGGTGGACACTCCTGTCCAGGATGCAGGATCTAGGGACATCACGGAGCTGAGGTGCATCCTTGCCACACCCCCTTGGAGCTCAGCTAATTAATTTCAGCTGCCCTCCCCCGCCCGCCCCCAGAAACCCAGGTATATATCTGACAGCCTCACCTTTGGAAGGTGACTAGGCCAATGCAACAGCCAATCAGGAGCAAGCCCCACGGGACAAGAACACCTGGCAGAACGCTCCAACTCTGGGTGTTATCTGTGGGGGAGGAGTCATGCTTATGAGTGGGACAGAGCTTGGGTGAAGAGAGTGGGAGGAACCAAAGACTGGGGAAATCTTGGGGTGAGAAGGGAATGTGGAAACAGAGCAGTAATCAGAGCTGGGTCCAGCAATGGTGAAGAGTTAGAGACACACATTGCCAGTTAATACACAGCAGTATTTAGAGACCCAAAAGGCCCCCAAGGCGTCATCAGTACCGACCTCCACCCCAAGTCAAAAGGTTGTCCGCTCACTTAAGTCCAACTAATCACTCCATATGCCCTTCAAATGCAGCAGGCCCTCTTCTGTGATGCCACTGCGTCCTGCCCTACCTGGTAGGTGAAACCAGAGGCTGAGGCCAGGTGGCCCCTGTCCTGCAATGGTGGACGCCGTCATCCACAGCTCGTAGGGACCCGAGGGGAGATCAAGCAGGGTGATGTTCTGGGCGCTGCCACTCACTGAAGGACATATCCAGAGAGGTTGCTGAGACAGACAGGTCCTACCTCAGGGTCTCCGCATGTTTCCACTCTGTTTACATTACTCTCCCACAGACTTCCTTCACTTTCCGTCACCTCCTTCAGCTCTTTCTCAAATGTCACCTCCTCAGGGAGGCCTTCCCTAATAATCAGCTCCCACTTAACCTTGCACCTCCCTTACCACTCACCTTCTCCATGTGATTCTCTACCTAAATGCAGCACCAGTGACACACACCACCTGGAAAGTGTTCACCGTCGTGCTTGCATGTCCCCCCATCAGAAAGTTCCAGTGATACCGTATTTCCATCACTGGACCAGTGCCTTGAATATAAACATTTAAAAATGATATATATATTTCAGTTAATGAAAGAAAATGTGAGACTCCTATCCCTCACCTGCACAAAACTCAGGAAAAGAGATTTGTGACAGACAAGGAAGGACATTTGAACCTCTCAGAACCGTCTTTTACTTTAAAAAAAAAATTACTGAATTGCCCCTTTCTGTCTTTAAGGCAAAAAAGGAAGTAGCTTTTTGGTTTGTTATAGGATTATAGGAGACACAAACATGGATCAGAACATATTGCCTTCAAACGATATCTACCTTAACATTAATTCAAAAGGACACCTGCACCCCTATGTTTATTGCTGCTCTATTTATAATAGAGAAGATGTGAATCAACCCAAATGCCCAAAGATAGATGACTACATCAAGAAGATGTGGCACATATACACAATGGAATATTACTCAACAATCAAAAAAGACAAACTCATGCCATTTGTGGCAACATGGATGGAGCTGGAAAAGATCATGCTTAGTGAAATAAGCCAGAAAGAAAAAAGGAAAATACCAGTGGTTTCACTCATAGCAAGAGTGTAAGGGATCAGGAAAAAAAGAAAAAAAATATATATATATATAGTGATTGTAATAAAGGAAAAACAAACATCAACAAACAACTGTGGACCAGAGACATTCTACAGGGGAGGATAGGGGAACAGGATCTAAACTGGGTGGGAAGAGCACACAGGACTATGGTGAAGGCACAGGGGTGAAGTGGTTAAGGTTAGGTTTAGGGTTAGGAAGCCCACAGATTACAACTGAGATGAAAAATGTACAAAATAAAGAATGATGTAAAAAATATATATACAATAAATAAAATCCAAGCAGCAAAAAAATAATAAAAATAAAGCATAGGTAGTATTAAGCATAAAAAATTTTTTAAAAGATATCCAAGCGAAATACCAAGTGGAGAAAAGAAAGTTGTGTAAAAGATCACGTGCTAAGAGTCAGGGACCAAACAAACCAACTGCAACCTACAGTCTGATCCATTTTAAATACTACTAATAAATACATGTATACATATTTAGTGACATGTAACACGCATAAACCTGATGATCTATATAAAGTCCTGTATTTCTGTAAAATGGGAGCATGCTCTAAGGGATGCACCGGCAGGCAATTTCCCCGTGCAAATGTCTTGGGTGGAACGTGCACACTGGACGGCACAGCCCAGCACATGCCGAGGCCACAGAGCCTGCTGGGCCCCTGTCAGCTACCTGGTCCCTCTGGTGTCCAAAATGCCAGTGAATGAGACTGCACAAATGATTTTGCAAAGGTGCAACCATGTGAATTAATTGTTAAAAAATAGGCTTTTTTATCGGTTAGGGATAAATGAAGTACTGATGTATTCAGGGGTGACACCAAAGACAAGAAAAAACAGGTAGGGAACAATGCAGGTCATGGCTGAGGCTGTGTGGAGGGTACACCACCACTGTTTTAATTCTTTTATGTGTTGCATAAAACTTTCTATAAGAAAAAGCTTCACATTTTAAAGCCCACAACTCTCTTTAAGTTATATACACATAAACATTCTGGAAGCTGTGTTACCAGTATCTGAAATAATGATAATACAGATATTCTTGATAACATACTCCTTCAATGCACCAGTTTTTAATAACCAAAAACTTCTGTAATGACAAAAAAAAAAATTAAAAAAAAGAGTAATGGGTATATCTTAAATGGAATGTGTGCTCAGTGTAAAATTGAACCTATACTCAAAGGTAGAAAAAAGAAACAAAAATTGTACATGATCCTTACAGTCCCTGCTGATGTTGCAGGGAATTTCTTTTCCTAACTGGGCTTCCTCTTGGCTCAGTGCTGAGTTTATTTAAGTAACATGGAGATCTGTAATCTTTTTCACTTTATAAAATTGACAGGTATCTTTCAATGTCGATACAGATAGACTGTAGTCATCATTTTAATGGTCAAATGATTGTTTAGTAACATTAAGAGCCATGCCGGTAATTGCCCACTGGAGAACTGTGCTCTAGGGGCTGAGAGGGAAGCAAGGGGCCCACCAGTGGGTAAGGAGTAAACTGAGGGGTGAGTTGTGGGGCAAAGAGGCAGGGCAGCTCACCATTCCTGCAGATAGAAGGCCTGGTTCCACTCTGTGCACACAAGGTGTAGTGGGTAAGGTGGCCCCGCAGCTGGTGCCGTGGGACCTCTTCCCATGCTATGGTGGGGTTCCCAGAGGGGGCATTCTGGAGTCGCTGCAGCTTTGGCCCCACTAAGGGTGCTGAGGGGAAAGTCAGTTAGTCAAAGCCCACTGGGGTTCCGGGACCCTCCATCTCTCAGCCCCACCTCTTACCTAGTTCCCCTCTGAACTTCCAGATGGAGGGCGCAGGAGCCAAGCCCCAAGGAGAAATGGCGGTCACTGTGATTCTATAAGGGACCCCTTCTGGGAAATCCCCTGGGTGGGAAAGGAGCAAAGACCAGTTAGAATTTGCTCCTCCTACCCCCTCATCCATTTCCTTAGTAGGGCTCTTCATTTGGTTTCCAGAAGGGCTCACTCAGGTAAAGCTATGTCTCTGGTAGGTAACCCCAGAAACTACTAAGGCAGGGAAGTGTAACTGACTGGGCAACTAGGGTACAGTTCCACTGAAAATCTCTGGGAGTACAGCAAGAGAGCACAAGCCTGAGAGCCCCTCCACCCAGGAGGAGGGGCTGGGGTATTTGTCCACCAGGCTTTATTAGTCAGTTTTAGAGGGCTGCAGCAAAGGGGCCTTAAGTCATTGGAACTCACAGTTGGCTGCCCGAGCAGTCAAAATCTTCAGGTACCAGAAAAAGCTAATCAACAAGCCTGGGAAGCGGCCAAGCACAGGTGTATGAGTGGGGCCCTAACACACTCATATGTGGGTGGAGACTCTGTAAGTCCTATTTCAATCTGCTGGCTGTAAAGCCTTCCCCACCTGGAATTTTGCAGAATTGGGCCTCCTGTTCTCCTATTCATATTTATTTATGGCCCTCAGGGCTCTGCCTTAAATTTCTGAATCAACGTCTCATGATGTCCCATGACCTTACACCACGGACAGACTCCCCAACCAGAACCTGACTGCTTCTCTTCTTTTCCAGTCCCCAACCCGGTATCTCAGCTCTAGTCCTCACACAGACACAGTCTGTGCCTCTCCACAGCAGCCAGAGGGCGCCTGTGAGCACCTGAGTCAGGGCCAGTCTGCTCTGTCTCAGCTCTCTGCTCAGAACCCTCTGTGGATCCCACCTCAGTCAGAGCCTCACATGATCAACCTAGTGACCTGCCTGTCCTCACTTCCTCCCACTCTTGCCCTCATTCAGCACAAGGCACATTGTACCTCTAACCCATCAGGGACATTTCCTACTTCAGGGCCTTTGCACTTTCTGTTCCCATTTGCTTTCCCTTCAGTCATCACTCACTTCTTCAGGTCTTTGCTCTAATCCCATTGTCCAAGAGAAACTAGAGTAGCTAGTCTCCCTCTCCCTTCACCCAGCTTAGTTTGGCCCCAATTACATTACGGGGACACTTAGTTTTTGTTTCATTGGCTACCTGCTCCACAAGAATGCTGTCTCCAAGAGGCCGGGACACTGCTGAAAGGGAGAATGATGTGATGGCTCTGACTATGTAGTTCAAGAGCCTGCCTATGTAGTTCAAATCCTGTTTCTACCGCCTACTGGATGGGTATCCCTGAGCAAGTGGCTTAGCCTCCCTGGTTCTTCAGCTATAAACAGAACATGATAATAGCAGACAATCTACTTTATAAAGTTTGAATGATGTTTATGGTAAATGTTGCCAAACATCAGCTGCCATTGCTGTGTACTGTGTCAAGAATAGGGCCTGACACATAGCAAATGATCACTGACTACTTGCATAAGTTCGTGATACTTCACTGATAACACTGTCTCCTGCTAGTCCACCCAACAGGCGGAATAAAAACCCAGGTGGCTCAGTGTCTCACCTGGCAACAGAACACTGAGGTTCCCTGGGGGAAGCCGGATCCAGTTGAAGTCTTCCAGGGTATCCCCATCCGGAACCCAGTCTACCACATGCTCCCATGGCTCCCTAGATCCCTGTTGCCAAGTCACCAGCAGCTCCGTGCTCCCAGACATGCTGTTGACAGACACCTCACGAGGGGCAGATCCTGGAGCTAGTGGACAAGGAAGGAAAGTCTCAACTGCCCACTCAGGAAGTCTGGTTCCGCCCTGCAGGGCACTCTGGAGGTATGGTCCTGTCTCTTACCCAAGCAGGCCAAAGAGAGGTTGGTGACAGACTCCCAGCTTGTGGCGTTGATGGCAGACACCCAGGCCCGCTGGGCCTGGTTGGGGATGGAGGAGTTGCAGCAGGGAACCCCCTCTAGGCTGAGCTTCTCATGTTCAAGTTGGAACCAAACTGTATAGCTCACCTGCACGCAGGACCCAGGAGCCTGAGGGATGATGGAAAGGAAGGCAGGGATTACTATCTCCCACTCATCAGCCATCTTAGTGAAGTCACCCACCTGGCCTGTCCTTGAAATAATTTTGTTGGAGGTTTGGTTTTACAGATGAGGAAAGTGAGCCTCAAAGGGGCTCAGCAGCAGAGGTGGGATTAGAATACACTTTTGGGACCAGGTTAGGGTGGAGCGAGTGAACCACTCACTTTGGGTAATCCAGTAATCAAGATAAATGATAGTTTAACAAATTAAAATTAGTAACAAAACATCAAGATTTTAAGAAAAACAGGAACTGAGCCTGCTCTTTTATAATCTTGGCTTACTGCCCTCAACCCAGTCCATGCCCTGTGCACTTCTTAGGGATTTCAGGGTTTTGATTGTCAGGAGTGGCTAGATGTAGCAAAGAGAATGGGACCCTCCAGGGGAGGAAACTGGGGAAATGCATGTTGCCACTATAATTGCTACTTTAAGGACAAGAGCCAGAGGTGCTATTCTGTCCCAGAAACAAAAACTTATCCCATCTTATTTGATTAAAAAAAGATTTATTTATGCATACAAGAACTGGGGTACAGGCCAGAGGTGTGGAAGGTAAGAGGGCTCACCAGAGACAGAATGGGGAGGAGAATAGCATATCTACTGAAATACACAGCTGAGGGGAGCAGCGGGCAAGACAGGAGAGGTCTGCCACGTCATGTGGGTCAGCTTCCTGGCCAAGGATGGAACTTGGTGCGGCAGTGGTTGATGATAGCTTGACAGTGCTGAGACTTTAACCTCTGAGCCACCATGGAGGCCCTTTCATGACTTGATTGTCATCCACACTGAAAACTTGTGTATTTAAGAAACCTGCCTAATCATTTTAAGTGATCCTAGAACCAAATTCTTTTTAATATATAAATACATAAAAGGAGCTTGATTTTTAATATTCACTGAAGTTTTCAATATTCCAACATAGAACTTTCTAGGCTGTATTTATCTTCAGTTCCCAGCACAATCTACACACGACTCAGATAATTTTTCAATATACCCTTTGAAGTACCCGGAAACTGGCTCTGTGTGGTTGGTTGTGGTAAATGTTCTCATATGTATGGAAGAATGCACATTCTGTCATTTCCTATGTGAGTTCCTTAGGTTGTTTGTTAATCACATGGTTATGTCCTCTAGATCTTGATTTGTTTTCCATCTGTTAGGAAATGAGTGAGAGGGTATGTCAAAGCCCCCTACAATGGTTGAGGGTCTGTGTATTTCTAGTAGTTCCGCCCATTTTTAATTTGCTTGGAAGCCATGTAGGCACATATAGGTTAAGCACTCACAACACACTGGTGAACCTGCGTCTTTTGCCATTATGGAGTACTTCATCCTCCTATTACTTTCTACAGAATGTTACAGTTAGGACATTATAACATATAGATGTGTATTCATGAATTATTTTATCTGCAAGTTGCACTTCAATGTAGTAAAAGGGCATCACAGAGTATGTGCCATGACCTGGAGCCGCTGGGGCTATGAATTGCCATTTAAAAACCAGTGGATCTTAGCTCTTGTGTGGCTTGGGGCAACCTTTCTGTCTGATTTTTCTCATCAGTAATGTTTGTAAATATGAGTGTGTGAGTTAGATCTGGGACACACTAATAGCTCTAAATGTGCTGATATAAGTAAAATGAGGACCTCCCTGATGGCACAAGTGGTTAAGTCTTAGTGCTATGAAGCTATCAGCAGCCACTGCAGCATGAGTTCAATTCCCGGCCCGGGAGGTGACTCACATGGTGCAATAGACCTCTCCTGACTCACCCGCTGCTCCCCTCAGCAGTGTATTCAGTATATCTGCCAGTTCTGCTCCCCACTGTCTCTGGTGAATCCTATCACCACCACCACCACCAGCCCCAACCTCTGGCCTACACCTCAGCTCTTGTATGCATACATAAATAAATACATCTTTAAAAAAAATAAGTAAAATGGGGCCTTCCCTGGTGGTGTAGCAGGTTAGAGCACAGCACTAACAAGTTAAAGCCACTTCAGTATGAGTTCGATCCCTGCCCCAGAAGTGATCACATGGCGTGGCAGACCTCTCCTGACCTGCCCGCTGCTCCCCTCAGCAGTGTACTTCATCAGTCAGCCTGTTCTGCTCCCCACTCTGTCTCTGGTGAATCTTCTCACTGCCCCTGCACCTCTGGCCTGTACCCCAGTTCTGTATGCATAAATAAATAAATCTTAAAAAATAAATAAATAAAATGAATCTTAGACTGTGGGGCCGAGGAAAGTGTAAGTCCGGTCGGTGGCCTATTCTCTGAGTGAGGGCCTAGCAATGACTGGTCCATATGAGATGTCAACAGACTTGGGTCACCTGTTATAACTTTGTCAGTTCATACTGCCTTTTTGCTGCTAGCATCACAGTACACTGAGCAGTACTTTGTAGAGCAGAACCCAGTCTTACTTCCAGACCTTGCACCTGCTGTTCCTCTGACTGAAATCTATCCTGTGACTCAGATCAAGTCTTCCAGAAGCAGCTGACATTGGTGGGGATTAGTTCTATGCCTGCCACAATGCCCCCTCCAGAAGGCAGAACAATGACCTCTGTTTTTTATGAAACGTTGTCATTTGGGGTTTCCTGACAAATGCAAAGATATTCAACTAGTCCTCACAACTCACCTTCCATAGAAGCAGAGGTTCCTGTCTGCTGGGTGTCCCACAAAGGCTCCCTGATATCCACACTTCTTTCGGAGCTGGCAAGGATGAGGAAACGAGGGACAGATGGGAAGGGCATGATTGGACAGATTTCCAGGAAGGGAGACGAGGATACGGGAGCAAGCCCAGAGATCCTCACCAGAGGGCAGTGTCTGGAAGGACATAATAGGGCTCTCTTCCCCCCACAGATCCTCTTCTTTCTCCATTCGGCAGCGGCCATACACCTGGTAGCCAGTGGCTAGCTCCAGGTCCCGGATCTCAATAGCAGTCAGAGGTATGGACTTTATTTCCGGTTCCAGCTGAGGGAGAGAGAGGAGAATGCAGTGAGACTGAGGGTTGAGTTCAGAGCACTTGACCTACTGTCAGTAGGGTGACCAAGGGAGGGGGCTGCACTGACACAGTGTTTTCAATCTTAAAAATAGGTCCATCATTGGCCCTCCCTGGTGGCGCAGTGGGTTAAAGCACAGCACTGAGAAGCTAAAGCCACTTCCGCATGAGTTCGATCCCTGCCTGCCCCGGAGGTGACCACATGGCGTGGCAGACCTCTCCTGACCCGCCCGCTGCTCCCCTCAGCAGTGTACTTCGTCGATCTGCCTGTTCTGCTCCCCACTCTGTCTCTGGTGAAGCCTCTCGCCGCCCCTGAGCCTCTGGCCTGTACTCCAGTTCTGTATGCACAAATAAATAAATCTTTAAAAAAAAAAAATAGGTCCATCACAAGTAAAAAGAGACAATAAGCTCGTCAGCCTATGTGTCAGGTATAACAGTAGGAGGTGCAGTCTTTTATTATCTCCATTTTACAGATAGGGAAAACTGAGGTGCAGAGAAGAGAAGTGACTTTCCCAGGCTCATAGAAGTAGTGAGTATGAAGCTGAGATTTATAAGCAGGCAGTTAGATTCCAGAGTCTGCATCTCAACATTGTTCTGGAAGGCATGAATAGTTGCAGTGACAACTCTTCTCTGTTTTGTACCAAAAACTGTAGCTAAAATTGTGATTCTCCCCCCAAACCCATTTTTCCCTGCTTCCTCTGGAAATAGGACCCTTGAGAACCAGTTGGGGACATGGCTGACAAGAATGTAAACTACATTTCCCAATTTCCCTTGCCGTTAGAACAGGCCCATGATTGTGTTCTGGCCAATGAGATATAAGAGAAAATGGTATGTGCAATTTTCAAGTTGTGCTATTAACCTGAATGGGAGATCCCCCAACCCCTTCTGGGGCCCTATTGTTTTGAAGTTGTCATCCACTTTCTTGCTGTGTGAACATAGAAAATTGCTTAAATTCTCTGGGTTAAGCTTTCCCAGCTCTAAAACAGAGATCTTTAAAGTATCTACTCAACAGGGACACTGGGACAACTCATACAGGTAATCCATGCAGACTGCTTAGTGTGGCACCTAAAAAGAGTGGGTGCTAAAAAATGTCTTTTGAGGGCCCTCTCTGGTGGTGCAGCGGTCTAAAGTGTGCACTGCAGGCTAGCTGCAGCCTCTTCAGTGTGAGTTTAATCCCTAGCGCTGGAGGTGACCCACATGGCGCAGCAGACCTTTCCTGACCTGCCTGCTGCTCCCCTCAGCAGTGTACTTCGTCGATCTGTCTGTTCTGCTCCCCACTCTGTGTCTGGTGAATCCTCTCACTGCCACTGTATCTCTGGCCTGTACCCCAGTTCTGTATGCATAAATAAATAAACAGTTTAAAAAAGAAAAAAAAAATGTCTTTTGAGTGTTTCCCTGCTTCTCATCTGTAAAATGGGTAGGTATAAAATGGTCCTATTTCAAAGAGCTGTACTAAGAATTCAACAAATCAGTGTTTGCAAGGAGCCTACAGCTGCGACATACAGTAGATTCTTACTAAGTGTCTGCATTATTTTTTTTTAAGATTTATTTATTTAGGCATACAAGAACTGGGGCACAAGCCCGAGGTGAGGGGGGTGAGAGGATTCACCCAAGACAGAGTCGGGATCAGAACAGGTGAATTGCCTGAAATACACTGCTGAGGGGAGCAGCAGGCAGGTCAGGAGGGGTCTGCTGTGCCATGTGGGTCAGTTCCCTGGCCAGGGATTGAACTTATGCTGCAGTGGCTGCAGATAGCTTCACAGCGCTGTGCTTTAACCCCTTGCACCACCAGGGAGGGCCCATCTGTACTATTCTTTTTTAATACTAACATAAGTAATTTGAGAATTTTACCCATTCACAAAAAATATCAGAAGATTATTGTTTCTCAAAAATTCTAAGTGAAATCTAGATTGGAACCACATGAAATTTTATAAGTTTGGTGGTGGGGTGTTAGCTTTTAGTAGAGCAAGCTCTCAGAGGTTCAGGCCTTTTGTGTGGGGTATGGACAGGTATACCAGGGGAAGGTAAGGAGTGAGCTTGGGGCTGGATCTCTGGTTTGGAGGCAACGTTCAGACAGGGCGTGGGAAGAGAGTCTCTGACACTCACCAGGGTCCAGGTCGTCTCCTGGCATCTTCGATAGTAAAATTGGCACATCAGGACTTTTTGAGGCGGCCACCTAGGTGGGGCCCATTGGACAGTGGCTTCCAGGGTGTCATCCTCTGTGAAGTCCACATCAGGGTATAGCTTGGGGGCATCTGGCTTCACTGAGGAAGAGGAGACCCAGTGTAGTAAGCCAGAGTCTCAGGGACCACCCACCCCACACATAGCTCACCCCACATCCCGCCTGTTACTTCGGGTTTCCAGGTTTACAAAGATTTGGGGCCAGAGACACTGGCCTGCCGCAGACGCCCAGACAAGGAGTTCATCAGACATGGTGAACTGCTCCCGTGGAATGGTCACCCAGCTCTGCCCGGTGGGCACTGCCACAGTCCAGGTCCTGTTGGAATGGCTGTCAGGAAAGAGGTGGGAATGTGGGGGTGCATTAGCTTGGGCCCTGAGCCCTAATGATAACAATTGCTCTGCCAGCATTTAAATTGTATTCTGCTACCGCAGGCTGTGTGCACTTGAGTAAATGCTTTCACTTCTCTGTGCCTCAGTTTCCTCATCTACACAACGAGCGCAATGAAGGATATGCTGACAAGGCTGAATATAGCAGGGATGGATTAGGTAATAAATGCAGTGCATGGAGAAAAGCATTGCGTTCACAACTGAGCTCTGGTGGTTTGTATCTATTGAGCACCTCCACTGTATCTGCACATGTATGCCTCTGCAATTACTGTCAGCAAATACATATTGTGCCAGACCATAAACTATAGAAATGCAGGCAAAGATCTGCTGCCTGGGTCTGGTGTTCCGGGGGTGAGGCAGATGAGAAACACATAATTAAATCACTGATGATGTTAGAAGTGATGTGAACAATAAGCGAGCAGGGTGAAGAGGATGTGACATGACGTGGGGGAGGAGTGACCGTGCTGTATTAGGACGGTGAGCAGGAAAGGTCCTCAGTGGGGAAACACTTAAGGCCTAAAGCCGTGCAGTACCTTTTAGGATGAGGACAGCCAGTGCAAAGACCCTGCGGTCACACTGCCTGGTAAGTTTGAGGAGCCCCAAAAGGGTAGAGTGGAGTGAGTTTGAGAAAATATAGGGTTTCAGTGAGGGAAAAGGAGTGACAAGTAGATTGCGTATGGCCTCGTAGTTACAGGAAGATTTTGGTTTTTTAATATATTTTTTAAAGATTTATTTATTTATGCATGTAAGAACTGAGGTACAGGCTAAAGGTACAGGGGAGTGAGAGGATTCACTAGAGACAGAGTGGAGAGCAGAACAAGCAAATGTACTGAAATACACTGCTGAGGGGAGCAGAGGGTGAGATGGGAGAGGTCGCCGTGCTATGTGGGTCATATTCCTGGCCAGCGACTGAACTCGTGCTGAAGTGGCTGTGGAGAGCTTCACAGTGCTGTGCTTAACCCCTTGTGCCACACTTAATAATTTTTAAAAAGATTTTATTTTGTGTGTGTGGGTAGAAGACCTGGAGTATAGGCCAGAGGTACAGGGGGAGGTAAGAGGATTCACCAGAGACAGAGTGGGGGAGCAGAACAGGTAGATCTACTAAAATACGCTGATCAGGGAAGCAGTGAGCAAGACAGGAAAGAGGAAAGGTCTACCCTGCCATGTGGGTCAGCTCCCTGGCCAGGGATCAAACTCAGGCCACTGAAGCAGTGATAGTGCTGAGACTTTAACCCCTAGGCCACCAAGACTTTAGCTGAGTGAAATGAAGGCCTTTGAGGGAGCAAAAGAGGGGTGGGACTCATATTAGATATGACAGTGAGATTAGGAGTAGAAACCAAAATCCAGGGGTAAGTTTACTGCAGCCATGCATTGCTTATCAATAGGGACACATTCTAAGAATGTCCTTAGTGATTCTGTCATCATGTAAATGTCTTAGAAGGTAATCTCACAAATACATGGCACAGCCTACTACACATCTAGGCCATGTGATGCAGCCTATCATACGTATGGTCTGCCACTGACTGAAATATCATTAAGCAACACATAATGGTATACAATCCAGGCCAGTGATGACACAGATTGTACCAGGGTGGGTACTGAAGAAGTGAGGAATATCAACTTCCAGATTAAATGGAAGGTGAAAACATTGAGGCTAGCCAATGCATCAAATGTGGGTGAGACAGAGAGGAGGTGAGGAAGTCCCCAAGAATTGGATTTAAAAGTTTTGAAACAGGGCCCTCCCTGGTGGCGCAGCGGGTTAAAGCACTGCACAAAGAAGCTTACGCCACTTAGGCATGAGTTTGATTCCTGCTCCAGAGGTGATGCATATGGCACAGCAGACCTCTCCTGACCCGCCCACTGCTCCCCTCAGCAGTGTACTTCATCTGTCTGCCTGTTCTGCTCCCCGCTCTGTCTGTACCCCAGTTCTGTATGAATAAATAAATAAATCTTTAATAATAAAAAAAAAAGTTTTGAAACAGGGCCCTCCCTGGTGGCGCAGTGGGTTAAAGCACTGTACTGAGAAACTAAGGCCACTTAGCTAAGTGGGTTCGATCCCTGCCTGCTCCAGAGGTGATGCATATGGCACAGCAGACCTCTCCTGACCCGCCCACTGCTCCCCTCAGCAGTGTACTTCATCTGTCTGCCTGTTCTGCTCCCCGCTCTGTGTGTGGTGAATCCTCTCACTGTCCCTGCACCTCTGGCCTGTACCCCAGTTCTGTATACATAAATAAATAAATATTAAAAAAAAAGTTATGAAACAAAGTCTGCATAAGAAAAAAACACACACACACACACAGGGGTAGGGACCTCCTTGGTGGTGCAAGGGGTTAAGTCTCAGCCCTATCAAGATATTGTCTGCCACTACAGCAGGAGCTCAATCCCCAGCCAGGGAGCTGACCCACATGGCATAGCAGACTCTCCTGTCTTACCTGCTGCTCCCCTCAGCAGTGTATTTTAGTAGATCTTCCTGTTCCGCACCCCAATCTGTTTTTGGTAAATCCTGTCACCCACGGCACCTCTGGCCTACACCCCAGTTCTTGTATGCTATAAATAAATTAATTAAACAAAAAACAAAAGTATAGGAGATGTGATGACACTAGAGTCCACTGCCAGTGGGAACTGTATAGCTGCTGTGGAAAAGTTCGGTGATCATCAAAGTTAATTACAGAACAGAATTGCTTTAGAATCCTGCTATTTTACTTTGCAGGCATATACCCAAAGTATCGAAATTGGGGACTCAAAATGTGTCCATGCACAGCAATAGCGCAATTGCCACAAGACTGAACCACCAGTTATCCATGAACAGATGAATGGAGAAGCAAAATGGGGATAGAAACGGGGGGTGGGGGGTGGGGGGAGGGAAATGCACGGGATTACGGGATTATGGTGATGGCACAGGGGTGACTTGGTGATGGGAAACCCGCGGGGATTACAATTGAGATGGGAAAAAAAATGTACAAAATGATGTAAAAATAAACTTTTGTAATAAAAAATAAATAAATAAAAATCAGTATTTGGTTGGATGGTTAAAAAAAAGAAAGAAAAAAATGGGGATAGAGCCACGAAAATGATGAGCCTCAAAAGCATGCTAAGTAAAAGCAGCCAGACACAGAAGGGCTCACATTGTATAATTCAGATTCTTGAAATGTTTTGAACATGTAAATCCATAGAGAGGAAGCCCATTAGAGATTGCCAGAGACTAGGGGAAGAAGTAATTGGGTATAGAACTTCCTTTTGGGGTGATTAAAATGTTTTGGAACTAGACAGGGGAGGTAGTTGCACAATATTGTGAATGTACTAAATGCTGATGAACTGTTCACTCTTTTTTTAAAAATACATTTCCCCACCCAATTTTTTGGTGAGCAGACCTATGATATATATATTTTTAAGATTTATTTATTTATGCTTACAGAACTGGGGTATAAGCCAGAGGTGTGGTAGGTGAGAGGATTCATCAGAGACAGAGTAGGGAGCAGAACAGGCAGATCTACTGAAATACACTGCTGAGGGGGGGCAGCGGGCAGGTCAGGAGAGGTCTGCTGCGCCATGTGGGTCAGCTCCGTAACAGGGGATTGAACTTGCGCTGCAGTGGCTTCAGAGTTTCATGATGTGGTGCTCTAACCCTTTGCGCCACCAGCGAGAGCCCTGAATTGTTCACTTAAATGGTTAATTGTATGTTATATGAATTCTATCTCATTTTTAAAAAGGGGACTTTCTCTGACTTCCCTATTCTCTGCCCATTAAAACTAGCTCCTCTACTGGAGATAGAGGATGATGACAGTTGCACAACAATATGAATGTACTTAATGTCACTGAACTACACTTTTAACAGTGATTGGGTGGGGAGGAGGGGGAAGATGGTAAGATTTTATGGGTATTATACCACTATTTAAAAAAAGCCTCCCAGGGTCTTCCCTTGTGGCTCAATGGGTTAACGCAAAGCTCTATGAAGCTAGCTGAAGCTGCCCCAGCAGGAGTCGGATCCCCAGTCAGGGGGTGACCCACATAGTGCAACAGACCTCTCCTGTCTCACCTGCTGCTCACCTCAGCAGTGTACTTCATCAATCTGCCTGTTCTGCTCCCCACTCTGTCTCTGGTGAATCCTCTCACCGCCTCTGCACTTCTGGCCTGTACCCAGTTCTGTATATATAAATAGTTCTTTTTTTTTCTTCTTTTTAAGATTTATTTATTTATTCACACAGAACTGGGGTACAGGCCAGAGATGCAGGGGCAGTGAAAGGAGACAGAGACAGAGTGAGGAGCAGAATAGGCAGACTGACAGAGTACACTGCTGAGGGGAGCAGAGGGTGGGTCAGGAGAGGTCTGCCATGCCATGTGGTCACCTCCGGGGCAGGCAGGGATCGAACTCCTGGTTAAGTGGCTTTAGCTTCTTAGTGCTGTGCTTTAACCCCAGTTCCTACTTTTTAAAGTCCCTTTTACTCTTCTGTAGCATGCTAAATACAGCAGCCAAACAAAATTAGCAGACTGTGAAAGGAATGTGTTTCCAAGTATAATTCACCATGAAGGTGTACCAGTCTTTCCTGGGACTTTGGGGGCCTGTGGGTCATTTTCTATCTGCCTCTTTCATTTTTGCATCCCTAGTACTAACTAGTATGATCTCTTCATGTGCTCCAGAGAGGTTGACCTATTTGCCTGAGGGCACACAACATACGTATACACACACACACATTTCTGGGGCCTCCCTGGTGGTGCAGGGTTTAAATAAGTCTCAAAGGCAACAAGCTATTGCCAGCACCTGCATTCTCCAGCCAGGGAGCAGAGCAGACCTTTCTTGTCTTACCTGCTACTCCCCTCAGCAGTGTACTCTGGTGGATCCATCTGTTCTGCCCCCTCTCTCTGTCTCTGGTGAACCCTCTCACCTATACCCCAGCTCTTGTATGCATAAATAAATAAAATAAAACTTTTTTAAAAGTTACTAGGGCCCTCCCTGGTGGCACAATGGGTAAGGACACAGCACTGCAAGCTGGCAGCAGCTGCCTCAGTGCAAGTTCAATCCCCGGCCCCGGAGGTGACCACATGTTGCAGCAGACCTCTCCTGTCTTGCCCACTGCTCCCCTCAGCAGTGTGCTTCATTATTTGCCTGTTCTGCTCCCGGTCTGTCTCTGGTGAATCCTTTCACCGCCCCTGCACCTCTGGCTTGTACCCCAGCTCTGTACGCATAAATAAATAAATCTTAAAAAAAAAAAAAAGTTACTAGTTAAGTTTACCTTTGCCCAGTGCCCAACTGAATCTTCAGAACTAAGCCTGGGAAATTCCATCATTATCACTATTTAATAGAAAAGAAAAGAGGCTCAGAGAGGGAAAGTGACTGATCCAGTGTCACACAGTAAGGTATAGAAGAAACCTGGAATTGGAGGGCTTGGGAGGAGTGGAGTTGGTGTTGCCAGGGGGCAGAGGGCAAACTCTTGGGTGGTCTCAGCTGGAGAAGACTGGGACTTTAGGACCATCCCTCCAAAGCCTGTTTCCCCAAAGCATCCCATTGTACTCACTACTTTTGGCTCTGGAGGTGCAGCATGGAGGGGGCTCCCAGGTCCTCAAAAGGCTCCCAAGAGCAGTTCAAGTTTCCAAAGGGACCAACTCCATAGCACTGCAGTGGTCCAGGGCTGCCTGGAGAGGGAGGCAGAGGGTCCCAGAAAAAGAGGTGAATTCTCCCAATAGCCTGCACAATCCAGAACCTGAGCTTCCCCCAACGTCTGACAATTGTGGAAGACATTCCGGGGTCCCTTAAGTAAGGGAAAAGGCTTCTGGGCGCCCCTAACCAGGCTTTAGCCATAACTCTTCCCCCCACTTCTGCCAGTCACATCCTGTTACCTCCCCAAGAACCCCCACCCCCACCCGGGGCTTTGGCTTTCACCTCGCTGCCGCCCATTCCTCAACTTTTTTCTTCGCCCAAGAGGAGCAGAGAGGCGTCCCAACCTCTGTCATTCACCCCGCAAACTCGTGGTTCACCTTGGAAGGTTTGCTCAGCACAGACACAGCACCCCACACGAGCTCGCTCCAGAACTCACCATGGGGACGAGACCGGTGGAACAGCAACAACAAGACCTGCAGCAGCACCAGCTTCGGCAGTTGTCGCGGCCCGAAGGAGTCGGCTTGGGCCCCCAGCATGGCCACCCCCCCGAATCCGCAGTCCCAGCCCGGCCGGGCCCAGCGCGCCGGAGCTGCTTGCCTCGCTCTCGGCTCCAGCGCCCGAGAGGCAACGGGAAGCGGGGCCACCCCTCCCGCCGCCTCCGCACCTTGCGCTGGGTCTCCGCCCCTTACCCCAGCGACGGAAAGTCCCAGACTGACTTGGCTGCTGCTGGGGAGGGACAGTGGGGAGGTGGCCTGGGAGGAGTGGGGGACGGGGCGCCATGAGGGTGCGGCTGGACTCCCCTGAAAAACCGTACCCCCCTCCCAACACATCCTCAATAATTTACACACGGGGCAAAGTTCTTTGGAACTTTTATTGTAGGGGTTGCAGAAGGTTCTGATTCATCTCTCCCTATAGAGCTTCCCACCTCAAAATAGGAAGGGAACCCAAAGCCCCCCTACTCCCAAGGGTCCACAGCCTTAGGGTCCCAGCAGACAGGTGTTGGCTGGAAAGCAGGAGGAAGGGAGTGGGCCAGAGCTCCACTGGCAGTGGCATAGCTTGACCTGGCTAGGGGCTAGTGCCACAGTGGGGACAGGAGAGAGGAGAGTCTGGTTTTGGCAGTGTGGCGGGGTTGGGGGATTAGGCGCACTGATGTAGCAGGGGAAAACGTAAGCCAGGCAAAGGCACGAGTGGGCTGCGGAGAACACAGGGGTCAGGGTCGCAGCCCTGTGTGACCAGGTAGGGACACATCTTGCTCAGAGACAGCATAGAGTGGTCAAAGGTCAGGACTATGTCGGGTATACTGTCTCAGTATATAACACCTGGCTGCTGTGACTTTATGAATGAGTGCATGAGGGACAGCTCAGCCAGATGCACAGCTGGACACCATTTGGGAGAATGGTTGGGCATCCACCCTGGTGCCCCTGGCTTCCGGGTTCCTGCTTAGCAGAGGCTGCTGATTTCACTTTTGCTGCACCCCCACTTGCAACAGTTGCTGGAGAGACCAGTCAAGACATCTCGGCTGCCCCGCAGAACCCCAGGGGTTCCTTGCCAACCAGGTGGGCCCCTAAAGAGGGCCTGGGGGGACTTAGTGAGGGCCAGCCATTCACTCGAAGACATTGCCTCTTCCAGGTCACTGTCTGCATCAGGGTCTGTTTCTGGGAAGGCATCTCCTGCAAAGATGAAAAGAGTTAGTACTTGGCTTGTCACACCTCTAGCCCAGGCTCCTGGCTGGCCTAGCGGCTTCCCTGCTTTATGCATTCAATCTCATGCTTAAAGGTTTTGAATCCATTCAGGTCTGGGTTCTAGCTTTGTTGGGCATTTTATTCAACTTCATTGAATTTGACTTTCCTCTCCTGTCATTTCTTCTCCCCACTCTTTATTACGGAGAATCTGATGTTTAAGACCTTGTAGTTGGGAGGCAGACTGACTAAACACCAACCCAGCCTCTCTAAGATACGATCCTGAGCAAGTGAATTTACTCCTTCAGCTTCTTGCAAAGGAAGGAGTAAAACAGTAACTCTTACTTTCTAAGGTTTAAATATAGTATACAAGTTAATACTGTGTATATAAATTAGGCGGTGGAGTGGCAAACACGTGATAAGCACCCAAAGTGAGATTTATTGCTAATTCACATTTACTGTGTGTCAGAAACTGTAGTAAGGCAGACTCATTAACAAATTAATCCCCTATCTCTCAATGGTAATCCCATGAGGTGGGGATGTTTTTCTGTTTTCTAGAAGAGAACACTGAAGTAGGGTTCAATAGAGTAACTGGCCCCAAAACACACAGCTATTAAGTTGTAGAGCTGTTGCTTGAGCTCAGGCAGTGTGTCTTTTAGGTCCACATCCATAATATAATTAGTATGATATAATATAATACACTATAACACAGTAATGATGTCTTTTTCACCAGACTCCCATGAAACTAAGGTCATTGTTCCCCCTCTGAATCTAGAACAAGCCTCTTGACCTGCGTAGACCTATGCCCTTATCTGTTTTGACTCACTTTTGCACTTAATAATCTTGTAAATCAAGAAGTGCCTCCCATTTGTGGGTAAAGAGACTCAGAAAGTCGAAGCAACTTGCTGAGCAGGGTAGCCTCGTAAGTGGCAAAATCCAGCCTGGCACACCTCACAGCCCTCACCTGTCTTTCCTGGAGGGTGAGACAGCACTTCAGTTCAGGCTTCTGAATTGTGCCCACCATAGAATCATGCAAGCAACAGCCTTGTTCAGAGCAGGATGGCATGGAGCAGGTGCACCAAAAACTCTAGGCTGGTTTTGATTTCTGGCCACGGCCATGCTCTGCCCCAACCCCATCCTGGCTCTGCACCCCTCACAGTTCCCAGGGTTAGACCCAGCTGCATATGGAAGGGCAAGAACTCTTGTGCCTCTGCCTCTGCTCCATGTCCCATCCACCCTCCACCCACACCCACCACCTCCCCAGCCTTACCAATAGCATCATGAGCCAGGATGTCGGAACGCTTCCACCGGGAGCCCCCGCAGGTGAAAATGACTGCTCTGATGAACTCTCTGCCACAAAGCTTCACTCCATAGGGTGTTGCCCGGGCCTCCGCCCTCAGCCACAGCTCCCCAGCCAGCACCCATACCGCTAGCAGTAATAGCAGCGGCTGCTTGGCCATTCTGGATAGACACGCCCTGGGCTGGCTCAGTGCTGGCACAAGGAGGCTTCCCAGGAGTTGGTGGCTCCCCATTTATATGCCCTGGCTCCCCCAACTCATCTTGAAAGAGCTGAGTGACCTCCTTTATCTCCTCTAGCAGAGGGGAAGAGAGCACGACCCCTCCACCACCTCAACCTTTCCTGTTTCCTGGAAGAAGCGATAACCTTTCTCTAAGAATGGGGTGACGTGGCCAGGCTCTCTCACTGTCATCTTCAACAAAGAGAGAGGTGAGAGGCCTTGATTCAGCAGAGACTAGGAAGACTAGGAACCCAGACCCCAAAGATGAGAGAAAGGGTGCAGAGACAAACCTCCCCACACACACCCCATAAGGCTGGGGTCTGGGACTTCCCCTATAATAACAACAAAGACAGCACACACTCTTAATAGTACAGACTGTGGGGCCGGCCACTACTCTAGTATTGTACATTTGTATGACAAATTTAACCCCCCCAATGACATAGCATAAGGATTCTCAAACTGAAGCAAGCCTCAGAACCTGCTAGAGCACTTATTGAAACAAAGACTGCTAGATACTATCTACAGAGCACCTGAGAAATTGCATTTGTGACAAGGCATGGAAACACAATTTTGAGAGCCACAGGACTATGAGATAGGACTAGGATTCTCCCTGTAATACAGAGGATGAAATGGAGGCACAGTGCAGGGACAAAATGTGCCCAAGCGCAAACCAGTAAGTGGGGATCTAAACAAAGTTGTCCGACTCCAGAATCCATGCTTTCCACGGAAAAATTTTCTCAGGATTAAGAAAAAATGTCACAGGTACTGATGACAATATGAAAAGAGTTCTGGAGATGGATGATTGCATAGCAATGTGCATAGATGTACTGATGAAATAAACTAGGTAATATGGCTAATTTAACTAGTAAATTTTGTTATATGTGTCTTTATTTTTAAAGATTTATTTATTTATGCATACAGAACTGGAGTGCAGGCCAAAGGTGCGGGGACAGTGAGAGGATTCACCAGAGACAGAGTGGGGAGCAGAACAAGCAGATCGATGAAGTACACTGCTGAGGGGGGCAGCGGGCGGGTCAGGATAGTCTGCCGTGCCATGTGGGTCACCTCTGGGGCCAGGGATCCAACTCTGGCACTGAAGTGGCTGTGATTAGCTTGCAGCGCTGCATTTTAATGTGTTGCGCCACCTGGAGGGCCTGTTATGTGTATCTTAACACAATTGAACAATAATAGTTAAAATGTTATTTAGGGGGCCCTCCCTGGTGGCGCAGCGGGTTAAAGCACAGCACTAAGAAGCTAAAGCCACTTCCGCATGAGTTCGATCCCCGCCTGCCCCGGAAGTGACCACATGGCGTGGCAGACCTCTCCTGACCCGCCCGCTGCTCCCCTCAGCAGTGTACTTCGTCCATTTGCCTGTTCTGCTCCCCACTCTGTCTCTGGTGAACCCTCTCACCTTCCGCATCTCTGGCCTGTACCCCAGCTCTATATAAATAAATAAATCTTTTAAAAAAATGTTATTTAGGGCCTCCCTAGTGGTGCAAGGGGTTCAGTCTCTTCAATATGAAGCTATCAGCATCAGCCACTGCAACAGAGTTCGATCCCTTGGGGGGAGCTAACCCACATGGCGCAGCAGTCCTCTCCTGTCTCACCCACGGCTCCCCTCAGCAGTGTGTTTCAGTTGATTTGCCTGTTCTGCTCCCTCCGCTGTCTCTGGTGAATCCTCTTACCCCGGCACCTCTGGCCTACACCCTAGTTTTGTATGCATAAATAAACGCATATCTTAAAAATATTATTTAATATCATACACACAGTGTATGATGTACTGGGAATGTTTAATGATGGGTTCCCCAGAATAAAAAAAAAAAAACACCCTGATTTGTAGCAGTTGAATTTCAAATCATTGGTATTGATGGAGGAAGGAATGCAGGGGAGGCATCACAAGACTGGGTCACACAAAGGGGACAGGTAGAAGGGGCTTGTGAAGCAATTGACACAGCCCGAAATCAAGGTCCTCAGGCACCAAAGCCGGATGTCCAGGATGTCCGGGATGTCCGGGATGCCTGGATATCTCCAAGAGGTCCCAGCAGATAACAGACTGTTGGAGGCTGTGCCTGAAGCTCAGCCCCAAAAGGTAAAAGATAAGGACATGGAAGCACATCGGGAAATCTCTGGTCCTGTCGAGTTCTACCTCGGCTCGCAAGGAGAGAGCTCCTCCCTCCAAAGGAGAAGCTGCCTGTATCAGGGGCAGTGTCTCCCCCAGCACGGGGCAGCTGTTCCACTGCCCACCTGAGCCTATGCAGGTGTCTTTTTCCACCCGTTCTCTCCCTCTGCGGGCAGCAGCCTGCTGCCTGCCCGTGACCATGCTGACCAAGCCGGGATGGG